CACGCGCAACAGTCACTCACCGCGCCCTCCCCTGCCCCTGCCCCTGCCCCTGCCCCTGCCCCTGCCCCACCTGGGCTTATCCAGGCTCCCCTGCAACAGCCTGCAGGAACTCACACTTGCCACAAAAGAGCCTTGTCCCCACCCTCCTGCCCGCACTCTCCCCCCACTGTGCACAGGCCGGCCAAGCCCTGGGCTCCAGCACTCTCAGCTCCTGCGTCCATGCGACAAGTCTCGTCATCTTCATTTTGCTCCGTATTGGACTAAAAGCAGCGAGCAGACAGGAAGAGAACTCTCAGACAAGCACAGTGAAGCTGCTAGGAAGGCCCGAGCCAGGAAAAGAAGATGCAGACTCGAAAAGCAGGAGGCAGAGCCTCAGGTGGGTCTCCGCACCACACGCCACAAAACGATCACGTGTCTTCACGACGTTCCTCCTGAGCCTCTGAGGCGGTTGTGCTTGGTGTATGCTTCCTGCCTTTTTAGAAGGATCTATTCCCAAGACTTAGCATGTACAGGTGTGCGAGTGGGAGAGTGTACAGTTGCGTGTGCAGGTGTGCCTGCAGGTGTGTGCGCTCTGTGTAGCCAGAGCTCAGGGAGGGATAGCCCCGTCACATCTGTGAGACAGCTCCCACGAGGTGACTGAGCTAGGCTGGCATCTACCTGGGCACATGGTCTTGGCTGCGAGGCTGAGCAGCCCCTGGGAACACGGTCTTGGCCTTGAGGCTGAGCAGCCCCCAGGCACAGCAACTCGGCCGTGAGACTGAGCAGCCCCAGGTGCACCGAGCTGGAGCCGCACTCTGCCCTCCTCTTTTTGAAAACAAAAGACTCAACCCCAGGAAGAAAAATGACAGGGCAGTGTGTAACTTTGTCTTCAAGAGGCACCATCCCTCCCACCTCCCAGCTTCTCTGTTCTTCCCCAGATCCTCTCAGCGAAGGTGCCAAGAGGCAAGAGGAGATTCTGTCCCCGGAGAGCCCTGCCAGCAATTGAGCTCTCTACACTAATGAGGGACAAAGCCCAGGGCACCTGCTTCGGGCCCAGAGGGAGGGGCGGGCACTGGGATCGCTCTCTGTCCAAGTAACCAGAAGGGCAAAGGAGAGCACACAGCCTCAGCACCCACGGGCCGAGCCCTGCATGAGGGGGACAAAGGGTCAGCCATCGCCCCATCATCCACCTGGAGGCCGCCCAGGCTCTGGGCAGGAGGGAGAGCCCATGGGCACAGGAGGTCCCGATGGCAGAGCAGAGACCAGAGTCCAGGAGGTGGAGGTGCAGGGATGAGGGCAGAGCGCCAGGAGGGAGCTGCCCAGACGGCAGGCTCTGCGCACTGAGGAGCTCCAGCGAGGACCTGACCTGCCCTCCAGGAGCAGCCGCTGCCCGATGAAGCCCTGAGTGGAAACCCACACAGGGCTGAGAGCAGTGCAACTCTGGCCACCGGGATGGGGAGGCCAGGGAGCACATGGGGCATCGAGGCCCCGTACCTGGGAAAGGCCTGGAAGGTCAGTTGGGTGTGCCAATGTGGCGCATGTTCAGCTCAATGCCACACTTAGCACCTCAGCACTCTGTGCCCATCCCACCAAGCCAGGGTGGGCAGCCATCCAGGGATGGGGACCCACACAGGCTGTTCAGTGGGCCCTGAGGTTGCCCGAGCCTGCAGGTCAGCCCAGTGTGGGGACCCCATGCCCTGTGCTCTGTGCCCTATGCCCTGAACCCTGTGCCCTGACCTCGTTCCCCGTGAGGGAAACGGGTCACAATTCCAGACCTCCTCCCTCCGCATCTGGATCAGACGGCGACTCCTCTCCATTACGCTTGCCCCCTCCGAGCTCTCCTGCGAGGGCCAGACATGGAGCCCTGGTGGCCCAGCGTGCCGGGAGGACATGGCGAAGAGGTTGGCTGTGGCCATCCTACGTCGGCGTCACCAGACACTGTGGATAGGAAAGCCTCCTGGTCAGTCCCAACAGTGGTTCGATGTCTCGTCCAGCTCATGGAACAGCACACACACCTGGAGCCCAGTTCCATGGGGGCGACAGCCCAGCACTGCTCGATGCTGCTAGAAGCTCGATGTTGGAGCCCCACGTTTGCTCGCCATTGCTGCTGCTCAGCCACCTTTTGTCAAGATCCTCCGCACTCTGCCTCCTGTACGGTGGGACTACACGCAGCTGCCACCACCTCCAGCATGGGACAGTGGCATAGCTGCATATTTTTGGTGCCTTCCAACACTGTCAAGTGCTTTATAAGTACTTGTCCCAACAGCCATATTATAACTGCCTCCAGCTGGCCCACACGTGAGCGGGCACAGGCCGAGGTCACGCACTTAATTATGGGGAAGGGAAGAGCAGCCTGTCTCAGAGCCCACGCTCTCAGCCCTCCTAAACTGTACTACTGCATGGAGTGCACTGCCCATCCGACACCCAGAGGAATGCAAATACGTGGATGCATGATGTGTGTGTGTTGCGTGTGTATGTATACATGTATATACAATGCACAATTATTATGAGAGACCTTTCTCACTTTTCAAGAAGGAGCAGTTCCAGATACCTATAAATCCGTGCCACCTGCAGGAGGGCCGAGCCACTCTGCAACACCAGTATGAGCTAATACTCTGTTTATCTGGCTTTGTTTTGGTTGTAGTTTTTTTAACGTATTTATGTTACACTCATTCACGGTATATTGTTGCAGCATACAAAATGAGTTTCCCATCCAGAATACACTGTATACTGGCTTGATCTGTGGAGAGCAGCCAACCTGAAAACATGTGACGAAAGCATGTGGCCTGTAGGCACATGCAGAAACACGCTTCCCTTAGTAACTCCTGCAGGGCTGTGAGAAGCATCGACATCCAAAAGCACACCTGCCGGCTGTCAGCGGCTGTCTTCCTGTTGTTGATACCCAGTGCCCCATACTGCCCAGTATCGGGCTAAAGGAAGTCGCACGCGTTTATCATACTGTCCCCCAAAAAGATCAGAGAAATTACATGGTGCCAGTCATTGTCACATCTTCAGATGACTGACATCCAAAACGACTGGCTTTGCATTCCGATCTCTCCTCCCCTACTCTCTGTGCATCCACTCCCTTCTTCCCCATTCCTTTCGCACCCCATTTCCCCCTCCCCCCATCTTCTGCCCTTTAAAAGAACAAACCGGAGGCTGGTTCTGGGCGCAGCTTCTCCATCAGAGAGGCTGTGCCCCCCGATCCTCGCTTCTCTACACCTGTGTGTCTGTGTGCTTGTTACTGCGCCTATTTCTAATCCGCAGCCTTCCCCCTCAGAGAAGCGTGTTCAGGCCGAGCTGGTCCCGACGTGATCAAAGATATCACCATACGTGTTACCTTCAACAGATCATTTTCCGTTTTGTTTCTTATGTGTTTTACTTCCTTTTTCTCCTTGATTCCCTCCCCCCACATACCATTTCCAAGGGGAGTCTCAACCAGGCAGCAGTAACATCGTCCGTGTGAGCCCCCCCCCCCCGCAGCTTTACATTCAAGGGCTCGAGGAAGGAATTCCAGATGAATTTATTTAGCCTTAAATGTTGTTTAAGTCTCACCACCAAAATAAGCAATCCACGGTTGTAATATTCTACCGACATACCTGTTCAACATAATGTGAAAAAAAGTCTAATTTTACTTCCGTTTGTCTCAGTGTCCACCCAGCGTCTGACCATTGCGCTTCCCCACAGGCTGCGTTCCGTCTGCACGGTGTTTGTTGTCGTCGTTGGTCCTGGGTCATTTGTTTTGAGACGCTTGTTCTAAGGACGCCTGTTCGGGGGATTTGGGTTTCTCAGGAATGTGTTCTTGGGATGGCTGTCCCAAGGGTGACTGTTCAGGGGGTTCCTGTTCCTCAGGGAGCTGTTCCTGGGATGGTTGTCTCAGTGACGACTGGTCGGGGGGTTCCTGTTCCTCAGAGAGCTGTTCCTGGGACGGTTGTCTCGGTGACGACTGGTCGGGGGGTTCCTGTTCCTCAGAGAGCTGTTCCTGGGATGCCTGTTCCTGGGATGCCTGTTCCTCAGAGAGCTGTTCCTGGGATGACTGTTCCTGGGATGACTGTTCAGAGGATGCCTGTTCCTCAGAGAGCTGTCCTTGTCTTGGTGAGAGTTCGTGTGACTGCTGTCTCCTTGGTGGTTCTGTCTGGGCTTCATTTTCTGCTGGGAGTACAGGTGTGTTCTTTTCTTCTAGAACGTCATGTGGTACTTTTTCTTGTTTTCAGAAAAGGAAATAAACAAAATCATTGATAAATCCAGTAGCTATGGAAACCTGCTGAAACAGCCCTAAAATGAGAACGTTTGCTGCTCATTGCTTTAGCGGTGACAGTGATAACAGGAACACGGAGAATTCTCCCGTGTCTGACGTGCCGTTTGTCATCACTTCCACCCTCGGCTGGAACTACGCTCTCGAACAAATGTAAGACAGACAGGGGGGGGGGAGCGTCAGAGAAGCCTACCAGAAGCAGGGGTCGAAGCTGCGCTACCAAGCGTGGATTAAACAGCTATAATTCATTAGTCATTTATAAACTGACAAGCCACAGGAACGAAACGTTTGCGTTTTCTGGCAGTCATAGAGATCAGGAAGGCACCTCGAACTCAGAGAGGAGGAGCCGAGAACACGGGAGAATGGGCGCCAGTCTCCCCGATAGAAAGGGACCGGCAGGCGCCCACAACCGCCGGCACTCAGGAAAGACGCCCGCCGTGGGACTGCCTTCCCGGCCCAGACGGCGACCAGCAAGGCCTGCGCTGAAAGGCCACTTGGCCACGGACACTGAGGACAGTGCCCTGGGAGTCGCAGGTGATCGGGCACCTGCAGCAAGAAGCCTCAAAGGACCTGAGAGGAGCCAGCACACGCGCCAGCCGTGTGCAAACTCAGCACGCGAGCACACCACCTGCCCAGACCCGCTCTCCCTCTGGTGCTCAGCCACATCCCACGCCAGAAGCCCAACTCCAGCTTCATCCTCAGAAAGACAGAGACGGAGAGACAGAAAGCGAGAAATTACCCCCAGAGGGGCTGGCCATGCTGCAATCCCTTCTCCTCCATTCTCCTCTCGGGATCTTGGGAGTCCAGCAACATAGCCACTACACTAACTGCTGGTCCCACCCTTATTTCTTTTTTTTTTTTTTTTTTTTTTTTTTTTTTGGAGAGGTTTTTGCTATAGGACACGTGTGCTCGCCAGACAGACAGAGAGAGACAGAGAGACAGAAAGCAAGAAATCACACCCCAGGGGGGATGGCCACGCCGCAATCCCTTCTCCTCCATTCTCCTCTCGGGATCTTGGGCACACACGCACACGCACCCAGCATGAGTTTTAAGCCACTGGGTCTGGAACTCGAACCACGGTCGACTACATGGGAGTCCAGTGACATAGCCATTAGGCTAACTGCTGGTCCCACCCTTATTTCTTGAAAAAGGTAATAAAGATGTGGGTTTAGGAGTCGTAGGATCACGGTGTTAAGAGTGAACACGCTCTGCGGGTGGCCCAGACCCATACGTGGCATGCCCTATCACAGAGGAGTCTCGCTGCAGAGAGACGGAGACACCACACTCACCCGAAGTCTGCCTAGGAGACTACGTCACACCACGGATTTCACGGGCTTTGTTTCTCGCATCTCTACTTCTTTTGTACAAAGTATCTAAGGGCGAGTGCAGTGAAATACTAAAGAATCGTTTAACCACCAAAGTTCTGCCTACATGTGGACTGACAGTGATCAAAATAGTCATTTGTCAACAACTAAAATTGTACAAAAGATGGTTTAGAAGGCTCAGTGCAGATATGAACGTGCAGTTCCTTCCAAAGCCACGTAGTCCTCAGGGAAGGCTCCCAAACCCGGGAGGGCCGAGCTCCGGGGGGAGACGGGAGGGCCCGGTGGACGTCTGCGGGGCAGCGGCGCACTAGCGCCCAGCGAGCTCAGGGCAGTGGCCGCGCTGTGACCTACATCAGCGACAGTGCTGCCAGGGGTCGTCTTAACAGGGTCTCTTACCAGGAACCGGAACCACTTTTTTATTCTTGCTGAGGCTCTTGAGAGATGCTGTTTAAAAAAAAAAAAAATCCAGACATTAACAAGCTGACCAATCTCCTGACTGACCAGGAGACTAATGGAAGGTCTATGGCTGAAGAGATTACTGGAAAACGACCACGTGAACTAATTCACAGAGGACTTGGGGCCAATTCTCGTTTTTAAAAAAATGTCACAAAACTATTCCAACATTATGTGAATTGTAGTTTCTGAGAATCCAGGGGAACTGGCAGAATTTTTATCTTCTTTTTTTCTTCCTCAAAGGAAAAGCATACCTTATTGAGGGTTTCTTTTTTCTTTCTCCTCCCCCCCACAGCTCCACAGCCAGACCCAGGGCCTCTGTGGCATTTCCTCTCTGTGCTGGATTCTGCAGGTGACAGTCCTCTAGCCAGAGCAGTGAGCTGCCAGAGGCAGAAGAGCCCAGCAAGCGAGGGACGGCCAGTTCGGGTGTCAGAGCAGCCGTTACTGGTCCTCAGTAGGAAAGAGCAGTCCCAGTAGGCATGTCCCCAGAAAGGAAAGGTTCCAAAACTAGGTGTGTACAGCTCCCACGGACACGGTGGGATAACGCACCCATGCTTCCTGAGGGTAAACTAAAAACTGCTCTGCAGACCTGCCCCAGCTGACGCCTTTGGTCTCAGGAACTGTAAGAGCTGGCGGGGGGTGGGGGGGGGGATCTCCACCCACTCGCTAGCCTGGGGCGAAAGGACTTCTGGGCTCTAGACCCTTGCTCCCGGCTGTCCTGGGGGCTGCACTCCCCCTGCAGGATTCCCACAGTACACCGTGGCTGGCAGCGCTTCCCCAGATCCAGCGTGGGCGCCCAGCCAGGAGCCTGGAGCTGCTCTGAAGGCCTGACATCTTACCGAGTGTGGTGGAAAGATGCACAGAACAGCTGGGGGGCTGGGGTCCCAGGGGGTTCTGGGGGGCCGCATTAGAAGATCTGCAAGAAGACCCCGCTGCCACACAGCAGCTGGGGATCCCAGCACTGGAGCCGGGAAAAGAAGAACGAGAGTGTCTCAAGAAAAGGCGGGTTTTGTGTGCGGTCAAGGCCAAAGGGAGTCTGACTGAGCACACAGCCGGGGCAGGCCAAGGGCTGCCTGTGTGCGCAGGGTCCCGTGGTGGTGCAAGGACAGTGTGGGCAGGACTGAGGTAAGGGCCATGTCCGGTAGCCTGGCTTTCATTCTCACTCACATTTGCGACTGCCACCCGGCAGCTGCTCCTTAGGACTTAGGAGGTCAGGTTCAAATTGTGGGAATAAACCCAGTGTTTCGGTAGAAGATATAGTTTGTGGAAAGTGGCAGACCCAGTTAGACAGCATTCTGTTTTTGCATTAGAAGCTACTACCTGGGCAGCGGATCCTCTGTGGGCTTGGGCCTCTCTAAATACGTCAGCGGAGACGTTTGCCAGGCCTTCACGGGGGGTCACAAGTGAAACCAAAGCACAGTTGGAATTCCCAGCGTCTACAGTGGGGACTCGAGGGCTTCCTGGCCAACCGTGGCCTTAGGACCACAGACGGACCCAAGGAACTCTGGCAACTGCAATAGGCTGCTTAATCCTGAAACATGTTATGTCCTGTATTCAAAAGTGCTCAGGAAGCATGGAAAATAGCAAAGCTAAAAGATGGAACCAAGCAGGCCCCGGACCCACCGCTTGCCGTATGTAACGAGTGGCAGGCTTGTGCCAGCCCGTGATGGTGCTCCCAGTGGAGACCACGGATCTCCACGATCGGCTTCAGAGGACCTCTGGGTGCACAGTGCCGGCTCGCGGGTGCACGTGGCCTGCAGACATGCACTACGCTCAGAGAGCCTCACACAGCGCGAGCCGGTCACACCCTCCCCGTGACCCTGGCATGTGATGTC